GTGTTTTTTAAAAAAGCCTGGTTTTTCTCAATACACCTTTAAAGGTTTTTAAATTGTTTCATATCTGGTCAAGTTGAGATTTTTAAGAACTTCATTTTTAATTTGTAATGAAAGTTTACAACTTGATTTTTTCAAAAAAGTCAACAAACTGCAAGCACCTGTTAATAAAGGTCTTAAATAATAAAAAAAAATAAAAAAAAAAAAAGCCTGGCACCAAAGTGGACCTCATTTTGCTCAATTCCAACACACATGTAGTGCATTTCAGCTGTCACAATTTAAATAACACTATGAATAATATGCATGGCTCTACTGCAGGCTGACATAGTACACTCACTTAAAATTATCTAAAACATAAACGTGGCTACAAACAGCTCCTTGACTGACCCAAATCCTGATCACAGATGAGTCATGAGACTTCTATGTGTAAGAGAGGCTACCAAGAATGTGAAGCTCAGTTATACACAAACCGTATAATAACAAAGTGTGTAGTTGTGTTGTATTCTTGCTCTCTCTGAAAAATTCACAGAATACTATCAAACAAAAGAGAAAACTACCCAATGAAGAGGAAGGCATGGCAGAGAGACAAAAACTGACAGCATCAGAAGAGAAACAAACACGAATAGAACTATAGGCAATGTCAGTCAGTGGAATGTTGGTGTTGCTATCATTTGTCATTCAAGAGACACTGGATAGCAAACTTAGCAACATCCAGAAAAAAAGCAGTCACACTGAAAAAAAAAAAAAAAAAAGAACAATGTCTTAAAGAAAGTGACACTGGCCAAAATAAGAACAACAATGAAACAACTTCACATAAAGGAACTCTAGGAGACCATTTCTTGACATAGAAAAAACACAAAAGCTAAACACGCCACAAGCTGATCAAATATGGCCTGGCTACTTGTCCAGACACTGAAAGGAAAACACACACTTCCTCCACTTCCTAAATTGCATACTAGAAAGGTTAGGCCTGCTGATACTGATAAGATGTCCCAAAGAAATAAATCACTTGAATCTTGATGTTTCTAATGTTCTAAATTATGTACTAAATAATTACTAGGCTTACCTTGTTATTTTGCTCATTTCCCTGTGCCTTTAGAAAGCACATCAAGAAAGATCTTAATGGTTCAAAAAAAATGTCATGAAATAATCTTGACTTTCTCACAGATTATGAGGGTTACCTTGAATGGTTTTCAAAGTGCGTGGTCAATAATATTTAAATGACCATGGAATACCCTTCTCTGACAAAACTAAACAAAAGAAGTGTATACAAATGAACAAACATTTTATATCTGTATATTCAAAATAGAATATTTTGAATATATGTATTATATTAAGAGAATATATATATTCTCTTAATTCAATGAATAGAAAGATTTGTTCTAATGGTGTTTGTGGACAGGATATCAAGTCTGCATTTTGTACAATGAATAACCACTAAGACAACAACATGCAATGTATTAATTATTGAAATTGTCCTACTAATCAGTTTTGAAACTGTCTCATTGCTATTTGTTTATCAATAAAATTATTTTTTAAAAAATTAAAAAAACAAAGTGTATGGTCATTTTTATGGTCTTGCACTGCTGTAACTGCCACACATGTAGATAGGAAGACACTTAAACTAATGTATTTTACATGCTATAAAGTTCATCTATACAGATTGTATTTTCCACTTATTTTTATAACCTCAAAGTATGTACCATTTGTTCACATATTCATTCACCAAACACTTATGAGCATGACCTAGGTTCTAAAGTAAGCTTTACTTCAGACTCAGAAGACAAAGAAATACTATGTGACATAAAGGTCCCTGTTCTTATCATTCAAGTAAAAGAAATAAACATTAAGAAATTAATTAGATGAATCAACAAATTAGTATATAAACCAAGAAAAAATATTTTTCTAACTACACAGAAGTATTTGTAGAATGTGAAGGTAATCAACTACATACTGATATTGTGAACATGTTGTATGTCCTGTAATTAGAAAATGATTTTTAAGTTTCTTAATATCTCTGGCAGAAACAATAGATTCAAGTTGAGGGCTTTTGTACAATAATGTCTTCAATGTCTTTCCAAAAAAGAAGCTAGAAATATATATATATATATATATATATGACAGAGTCTACAG